TGTTTTTGTTTGAGTTTGGAGTTTGACCAGTTCGTAAAAAAAAACAAAAAAACAAAACAAAAAAAAAAAAAAAAAAAAACTAATTAAGACATGCGTGTCCGTCAACCTTAAACAATAATCTTTGTCAATTTTATTTTTCAGTCTTTATGATGGTCGATACTTGATCTATCTCTTACTGTTACGTCCCCGGGTAACGCCAGGCTCTACTGCTAGTATTTAATAAAATTGTTCATCATTGACTGCCATATCGGAGATTTAATACCGAACAGAAGATCAACACTTGTTTCTTTGTTTCTAACAAAATCTTCCTATTTCTTAAGTCATCTTTCACTAAACCAATGCGTCATCGGATTTTAGCGTCCCATTTTGCATATGTATTAATTCCTCTACTTGCTTTATTTTGGCGCCAAATTCATAGCTCGCATCGTGGACTGTTACTTTTGCTGGCGACCGTAAATTCAGCCATCCTACAAATGATGGCTTGTTCTTTTTTCTCGGTTTCATTTACTAATTTGATCTAAGAGTTTATCCAGTTTTCTTTCTGTGTTTGTTTTACGGCCATATCGCGAAATTAAGCAAGCTTTAACCTGGTCAATAAATAGATGAGTAACCGCTTGGAGATGCTCTGTGCTGGAAGCTTTGATGTGCGTCTGGTGTAATGGATAACGGCTCGGAATCAGAGAACCGAGTTCGAATTTCGATCTGGTTCTTTATATTCACTTACGCGCAAATACCCTCGAAAAATGTATGGATCAACATCTTCTCCTCCCATCTAAGGGTTAATTAATAGGACTTGTATCAGTAAATAATTATTATTTCCAAAAATTCATACAATCCCAAAATAATTTCTGACTTTAAATAACCACCAACAGGTTGATAAGCCGTAAAAATCAAATCGATTAACCAATCAATGGTGTCATCTGCGTATAGTTTTGTTTAACAATGGAATTCTGTGTAGCTAAAGTGGTTAAAATAATGTCCATAAAGATTGGCTTCCCAGGGTTGAAAGGTCAGATTATCTTTTCAGATGATTCTTTAGATATTGTTTTGTTTCCTATAATGTTTCTATTTGCAACACTAACGCGGGTGAAACTGTTAATAGGTTTAGCGGGAAAATATCAATGTCTGCCACTAAATGACGAAATTTGTTTTGTTTTTTTAACAGATTTTTATAATAATAATAATAAAAATAATATAATAATAATAATCAAAAAAAAACTTAAGCCATATATACATTCACTTATTGGAAAGCTTGAAAATGATGGCTTCACACGCACGCGCACATGCACTAAAATGTAGATGCAAGATAGATAGATAGATAGATAGATAGATAGATAGATAGATAGAAACGTATGAATATACCGAAATAGAAAGAAAGAAAGAAATGTATTTAGATAGATAGATAGATACGTGCGAACATACTGTAATAAAAATAAATAAATAAATATATTGAGATAGATAGATAGATAGATAGATAGATAGATAGATAGATAGATACGTATGAACATACCGAAATAGAATGAAAGAAAGAAAGAAAGAAAGAAAAATATATTGAGATAGATAGATACGTATGATCATACTGTAATAAAAATAAATAAATATATTGAGGTAGATAGATAGATACGTATGAACGTACCGAAATAAAAAGAAAGAAATAGATAGATAGATAGATAGATAGATAGATAGATAGATAGATAGATAGAGATACATATGAACATACAGAAATAGAAAGAAAGAAATATATTGAGATAGATAGATAGATAGATAGATAGATAGATAGATAGATAGATAGATAGATAGATACGTATGAACATACCGAAATAAAAGGAAAGAAAGTAATATATTCAGATAGATAGATAGATAGATAGAGAGAGAGAGAGAGAGAGAGAGAGAGTTAGGGAGATAGAGATACATATGAACATACGGAAATAGAAAGAAATATATTGAGATAGATAGAACGGAAAAAACATCAATAGATAGATAGGAACAAAGAAAGAAACAAAGTTTTATTTGAGTTTCCTTGCTAATCTCTTGTTTCAGGGTGTGTGGAAGTGTAACATTGTCCGTGTAAAATAAAGTAGGGTAATTGGAGCGTTTTTTGCGGCTTATCAACCTTTTTCAAGAAGAGAAAAAAGAGAAAGAGAAAAATATGTTTAGATTGTTATAATTTTTTGTAGATAATCATGATTTATAATTTTTTGTAGATAATCATGATTTACAGTTAAAAATATTTTTAGATTGTTATAATTTTTTGTAGATAATCATGATTTACTGTTAAAATTCCTACAAATTAATACATATCTGTGGTGTGAAGTTGCGGATTCTTACTTTTCCCCAGGGTATTTGCCCGTAAGTAAATATAACCGACACGACTGGAAATGGAACTCGCCTCGCCCCTTTCAGTTCCAGGCCATTAACCATTACATTACCGCATATACAAGCTTACAGTACCTGGTATTCCCAAGTGGTGAACAATCTAGGTACTAGCAAGGCTCGACGTTGCTTACCTTCGGTAATCATACGAGAAGAGGCGTTTTAACATGTAGGTTAAGGAAGATAAGAAAAAAATCATAGTCTAACTAATAAACAATTATCGTGAAATAATAACGGTAAAAATAAAACTGTACGTAGCGAAGTTTTTGATTGGTATTTAAATTGACTAATCAGGAATGAGCAAGAAGTCGAGACTTCCAGGCTAAAAGATATAGTTTCTATTGTATCTCGTGTTTTCAAGATAACAGAGAGAAATAGTAAAGAAGACAATCTCGTAGGTAAGTAAGAAGGTTTACTACACGAAGGTACACTTAGCAATTGACTTAATGGTAATTCTCCTCAAATCCGCTTACCTCTGCTTATTTCAGGTTTCTTTTTTTTTTTTTTTGCAAACCAAATAAAAGAAAAAAAAAATCCAGAAAGGAAGAAAATGCGTTTTGTCCTCTGAGGAACTTTATCAAGGCAATTGTAATGATTTTATTTTGTGACAAGTAATTATATAAGACCCAAATGTTATTGGTTTTTCAAAAACTTTTCAAAAATATTTGATTTATATGTAAATTAGTATATAAATTATTTTGGATTGGAACTGATTTATATGTTATATATTCTGAATAACATGAGTTTTTTGCTTATTTTTATCTCGTGTTTTCGAGATAACAGAGAGAAATAATATAGAAGACAATCTCGTAGGTAAGTAATGAAAAAGAAGATTTACTACACGAAGGTACACTTAGCAATTGACTTAATGCTAATTCTTCTCAAATCCGCTTAAATCCGCTTATTTACATAAATAGACGATTCCATTCTTTTATGTTATCATGACAGCTTCCATCCATAGCCTGATGTTATTCAATAGCGTCGGCTAAGATAAGTTTTCCTTTTTTTCTTTATTCATATTGCCCTTTTACAGATATACTCTACATGAATTCTTTTGTGTAATCTTAAGCATAAAACAGATAAATCGATAGTTGAAATATTGTTTCTATTTGAATTTCTGGGGTGAGGAACCATGGAGCAACGTCAGCTCATAGGACCAGAAATGGCAAAAAGGAGTCGCAAACTGGGCCGCACCAACTACAATATTCGCTATTATTATTATTATTATTATTATTATTATTAATCCATGCGATTAACAGTTTCTTTAATAAGTGTTATGGTCCGGTTCCTTGTACCACGGTGATATTCCAAGGTAGAACCAATAAAGAAGAACTCGAACACAGGTATGGAATAACACAGATATATTACAAACAGGAATATATACAGAGAAGTAGAAGTGTTAGTATGAACAACCAGGTTTAGTAGAGAGAACAATATAGTCTCGACCAGTATCACTATTCCAATGTCTTGCAGTAATTGTCTGAACGCGACTCTGTTTCGGACTGCCTCTGACTCGACTCGACTCGACTTGACTTGAACTACTGACTGACGATATTCAGTCACCCCCCCCCCCACGAGGGTGTCATGTGGCACAAGGCCTTTTTAACGTGGGCATTCCCGAGCCATTAGGCTCGGCCAAAAAAATAGCTTCCATTTGAACCCGTATAAACGGGTTCAGGGCCGATTTAACCTCCCCCGAAGGGAGACTCCGCCCTTCGGCGTAGCCTCCTTCGGGTTCCTCCCGCCCGTAGGAAAGAGTTCAAACCGAGCAGTCTGTTCAAAAGTGAACTACTGACTGACTCCTGAGGCGCAGTATTTATTAAGTATAGAAGAGTCCATTATTATTATTATGGGTAAGATCCCATAAAACCCCTCTTCCGAACCTTTTGCGTAGCAGGGTCTTTTTAATATTTTTTTTTCTTTGGATCTATTTCCAAAGGTTCAGTGAATTTTCTTTTTCTTGATGATTTTCTTGGTTCTGGCATTATTTGCGGTCTTGTTAAATCGAATGTGTCGAAAATCGTGTCCAATACCTCTTCTTGAGGTGGACCGTTAGCATCCTGTAACGGTCTCTTTCTTATTTGGTTTACGTGTCTTCTATGTGAGAATTTTTTTCCTTGTACTATGTACGTCATATTACCAATTCTTTTCTCAATTATCCCTTGTTTCCAGCAAGAGGTATTATTTTTATATGCCTTAAAAAAAAACTTTTTCTCCTGGGGTCTCACCTATAGTGCCTATAGCTGAGACCCTCACAGGTGCTATCAGTCCAGGCCAGGGTGGACCTGGAAACAAAAGCAATTAAGATGTAGTCCGAAGCACCTAAAAACATTGGATCAGAGGCCTTGTAGCTAGATGTAGTTTATCGTCATACCCAGGACAAAAGAAAGAAAGAAAGAAAGAAAGAAAGAAAGAAAGAAAGAAAGAAGTTGATAAAATAAAGAGGATGTGAGAAAACAGAATTCACCAGCAAGGAAAAAAAAAAGGAAGCAAAAACAAAACAAAAAAAAGAAAAGAAAAAAAAAACGGAAAAAGAGGAAGTAGATGAACGTATTACATGATTTTAAGGAAATAAATTCACGAGTTATTTCTATAAAATCATTTAGGGCAGAAGAAACATAAAAATATTAAATAAATGAAAAAGGACGAAACAGAAGGAAAATCGAAGAAATAAAACCAGGCGAGAGAGAGGCTCTGAAGAAAAAAAATAATAACAGACTGGACATTAAATGGAAAGTAAAATTGACAGAAAAATGAAAACGTGAAAGAATGAAAGGACAAGAAGGCAAGTCAGTAAAGAAAAATGTTTTCAAGAAAATGAATCCTGGACGAAAGAGAAGAAAGAAAGAAAGAAAGAAAGAAAGAAAGAAAGAAAGAAAGAAAGAAAGAAAGACGGCAGGTAAGAAAGAAAGAAAGAAAGAAAGAAAGAAAGAAAGAAAGAAAGAAAGAAAGGAAGGAAGGAAGGAAGGAAGGAAAGAAAGAAAGAAAGAAAAAAAAGAAAGAAAGAAAGAAAGAAAGAAAGAAAGAAAGGAGGTAAGAAAGAAAGAAAGAAAGAAAGAAAGGAAGGAAGGAAGGAAGGAAAGAAAGAAAGAAAGAAAGAAAGAAAGAAAGAAAGAAAGAAAGAAAGGAAAGAAAGAAAGAAAGAAAGAAAGAAAGAAAGAAAGAAAGAAAAAAGGAAGACGGGAGGTAAGAAAGAAAGAAATAAAGGAAGGAAGGAAGGAAGGAAGGAAAGAAAGAAAAAAAGAAAGAAAGATGGAAGGTAAGAAAGAAAGAAAGAAAGAAAGAAAGAAAGAAAGAAGGTAAGAAAGAAAGAAAGAAAGAAACGAAGAAAGAAAGAAAGAAAGAAAGGAAGGAAGGAAGGAAGGAAAGAAAGAAAGAAAAAAGAAAGAAAGATGGAAGGTAAGAAAGAAAGAAAGAAAGGAAGGAAGGAAGGAAGGAAGGAAAGAAAGAAAGAAAAAAGAAAGAAAGATGGAAGGTAAGAAAGAAAGAAAGAAAGAAAGAAAGAAAGAAAGAAAGACGGGAGGTAAGAAAGAAAGGAAGAAAGAAAGAAAGAAAGAAAGAAAGAAAGAAAGAAAGAAAGAAAGAAAGAAAGGAAGGAAGGAAGGAAGGAAGGAAGGAAGGAAGGAAAGAAAAGAAAGAAAGATGGAAGGGAAAAGAAAGAAAGAAAGAAAGAAAAGAAAGAAGAAAGAAGACGGAAGGAAAGAAAGAAAGAAAGAAAGAAAAGAAAGAAAGAAAGGAAGGAAGGAAGGAAGGAAAGAAAGAAAAAAAGAAAGAAAGATGGAAGGTAAGAAAGAAAGAAAGAAAGAAAGAAAAGGAAGGAAGGAAGGAAGGAAAGAAAGAAAGAAAAAAGAAAGAAAGATGGAAGGTAAGAAAGAAAGAAAGAAAGAAAGAAAGAAAGAAAGAAAGAAAGAAAGAAAAAGAAAGAAAGAAAGAAAGAAAGAAATAAAGAAAGAAAGAAAAGAAAAGAAAAGAAAAAAAAAAAGGAAGGAAGGAAAAACTAAATAAAAGAAGAAAAACGAAGGAAAGAAAGAAAAGAAAGAAAGAAAGAAAGAAAGACAGGAAAGAAAGAAAGAAAGAAACAAAGAAGGAAGGAAAAACTGAAAGAAAGATAAAAATGAAGAAGAAAGGAAGGAAAGAAAGAAAGAAACAAACAAACAAAAGAGAAAGTCTAAAAGGAAGACGGAAAAAGAAAGAAAGAAAAAAAGGAAGGAAAAGAAAAAGAAAGAAAAAAGAAACCAAGATGGAAGGCGACCAAAAAAAAGAAAGAAAGAAATTTAAAAAAGATGGAAAAAGACAAAGAAAGAAAAAAAACAAAGAAACAAAAAGAACAAACAAACAAGACGATAAGGAAGGGAAGGAATGAAAGAAAGAAAAAAAACAAAAGAAATATAAAAGAAATAGAAATAAAAAAGAAAGAAAGGAAGTAAAAAGGAAGGACTGAAGGAAGGAAAGAAAACGAAAAAAGAAAGAAAAATGAAAAGAAAAGTAAAAAATAAATTGAAAAGAAAAGAAAAGAAAGAAAGAAAGAAAGGATTATAAAGAAAGAAAGGAAATAAGAAAAGAAATAGAAGGAAGAAATAAAAAGAAAGGAAAAAAGAAAATGAAAACGACAAAGTCTTGGAAAGGAAAAAAAAACAAAAACTCAGGTTCTAAGAAAGAAAGAAAGAAACGAAAGAAAAAGTAAGAAAAAAAGAAAGAAAGAAAAGAAAGAAAGAAAGAAAAAAGAAAAATAAAAGAAATAAAGAATAAAAAGGAAAAAGGAATGTCTAATAAACGAAAAATGAAAAGAAAAGAAAGAAAGTGTTTTTCAAAAGAAAGAAAGAAAAAAAAAAAGAAAGAAATGATTGTTTATAAAATGTGAAAAAACCCAAATAGAAAGAAACGAAAGAAAAAAAAATACTTAGAAAAACTTGAAAAAAATTGGAGAAAAACGAAAGAAAAGCAGAAAAGAAAAAGAAAAACAATTTCCGATCCAGTAGTGAAAAACTAAATAAAGAACGAACGGAGGAACGACAGAAAAAGAGTAAAGAGAAATTGTGAAGACAGGAAAAAGAATGAACTAAAGAAACAAAGAGAGTGGAGAAAAAACTGAAGAAAGATAAAAATGAAGAAGAACACATAAGGAAAGTAAGAAAGAAACAAACAAACAAAAGAATAAGTCTAAAACTAGGACGGAAAAGCGACAGAGAAAGAGAAAGAAAGAAAGAAAGAAAGAATAGAATACGTGTAAAACCAAGATGGAAGAGCGACCAAAAAAAAGAAAGAAAGAATCATTTTAAAACTAGGATGGAAAAGAGACAAAGAAAGAAAAAACAAACAAAGAAACAAAAGAACAAACAAACAAGACGATACGGTGAGGAAAGAAAGGATGAAGAAAGAGGAAAAGAAATAACAAACAAATATAAAAGAAATAGGCATAAAAAGAGAAGAAGTTAGGCAGTAGTAAAAATGTAACTACTGTGGAAGGGAGAAATAAACGAAAAAGAAAGTAAAAGTTGATAAATTGAAAATGAAAGTGAAAGGAGTTTGGAACAAAGAAAGAAATGAAAGAAGACATGATTATAAATCGAACAAAGAAAGGAAATAAGAAAAGAAATAGACGGAAGAATAACGAAGAAAAGAAACAAAAATAAGACACTTATGATGATACGACAAAGTCTTGGAAAAGAAAAAAAACAAAAACTCAGGTTCTAATGAAATAGAATGAAAGACACGACAGAAGAAAGTAAGAACAAAAGTAGAAGGAAGAAAGAATTGCTGAAAAGAAAAATAAAAGTATATAAAAGAATAAAGTAAAGAAAACAATGTCTAATAAACGAAGAGTTATAAAATTGAGGATAAACTTTCGTTCATTAAAGTGTTTTTCAAAAAGAAATCTTTGCAAAAGAAATGCGTAATAAATGATTGTTTATAAAAATGTGAAAAAAAACCCAAATATTTATGAACGAATAAGAAAAAATACTTACCGCTACGAACTTTCTAAAAAACTTAGAAACACATTTCAAAAATGTGTTCTTTGGAGTTCATTTTTATTTTATTTGAAAGAGAATAGCCTAAAGCTTATCTGTATAAAAAGAGAAAGAAAATCTCTGTTTGTATATAAAGTTTTAGAAATTTTTAAAACATTGTCATGCACACTCACTACTCAGTGATTCATCAAACTGACATTATAGATAATATATTAAAAATCATTTTAAAATCCAAAAGTAATCTTAGGAGAGGATTATAAAATAAATTAGTAAATTTAATGATTAATTAACTGGATTATGTAAACCTAATGCTTATTTTGGCTTAAAATAATGGAAATAACGTTTATTTACAAACAATAACCTGAGATGTTATAGGTCAATAATAATAGTTTTTAAAAAACGCGCGAAAAATTAAAATTAAGAAATACGGAAAACAAGCAGTACAATAATAAATGAATTCGTATTTACGTTTACAAATAAATTATCTTTAATTTATATAACCAATAATTTAGGAATATAATTTTTTTATTATGTACGATTTTAGGAAACTTACAAAATAGTTAAATGATAATCTTGAGTTTAATGCATTAATTTTATTATTCTCTATTATTTTTTTACTTATTTGATGTGAACTTTCAATTGCATCCAATTATGTTTTTCTTTTTAATTATTCTGAATATTCATAAAAAGGATGTGGAATAAACTAATGTTCAAAAAATGATGCAGAATAAACGAATTTTTTTATAGAATAACTGAGAATAAATGAATTTTGATAAAAACGAACTGGAATAAACAAATGTTTTAAAACTGATGCAGAATAAACGAATATTTATGGAATTTCGAATGTTCATAAAAATGATCTAGAATAAGCAAATGTTCAGAAAATGATGCAGAATAAATTAATTGTTATGGAATAACTTAGAATAAATGAATTTTCATAAAAACTATCTAGAATAAACGAATGTTTTAAAACTGTAGAATAAACGAATATCTATGGAATAACTTTGAATAAAAAAATGATCGAGAATAAACAAATTTTCAGAAAAAGGTAGAGAATAAATGAATTGTTATGGAATAACTTAGAATAAAAGAATGTCCATAAAAAGAATGTGAAATAAACGAATGTCCATTGATTACGGAATAATTTGCAACAGAATTAAGAATTAACGAAATTTTATGAAATAAAGTTTATTAAACAAATGAAGCAATAAGTCTCTACGTATTTGATTGGTAAAAAGGCTGATCCAATCAGAAAGCTTCTTAAGAACTGCTAAATTGTGGAAGAGATTATTGCACAGATGCTTCTCCCAATACTATAAGTCAAGGGTTAATCGTTATCTATCCTCCGTAACATCATAATCTTCTTACTTTCTACTCTTACACTCAATTCAAACACCTGATTCAGTAACACACTACACTAAGCGGCTCTTGGGCCTTGTGAACATTGGAAGCGATTACATGTCTTGAAATCTGATAGAGGTTGTCGTAAAGTAAAATAAAGATAAGCTCATAAGAGGATTTCGAGTAAAAAGAAAGACAAATATTAAACGAATGGATGGTTAAAAGAAAATCCTGTGCAGTACAGCCTCACCATCCGTGGAATTTTCAATACGAAATCCTCAATTTCTGCGGATTCACCAATGCCAAGACCTCACTATTCGTCAATGGTCAGCCAAAGTTCCAGTTATTCACTATCAGCGTGTCAGCAAAACTGTCCTGTTCAAAGTTTTCCTAAACTAAAACTAATTTGTGAAATATATTTCGAATAAACAAAACCTTGTTTATTTAGATCCTTTTCACCAACTTTTTTATAGGGTAAAGACAAAAAAAAGAAAACATTTGCGGTTTACGTCAGAAAGATTTAAAATTTTACCAATCTTTTTAAAATGGATTGCAGATTTCCCGAAAAAATATTTGGACATACCGACTATAGAGAGTTCTTTGTTATCCACGGACCACGAAACTTCTCTACCGCGGATAACAAGTTCATACTGGATTTGTTTGACTTTTTCAATTTAACCTTAAAGCCCTGACCAATTCATTTACCAGTGGTTTCCCAAAAATTGTTTAATACCCTAGATACCGAATGAACTTTTATGGTAGAGAAAATAATTCGTAATGCCAACAGCTCGACCGGATGAACGGTATTCTAAAAATAACATTTAATGTCCAGACACCGGATGAACCCTTTTATGAAGAAAAATAAAATTATTCCGTAAGACACCGGATGAACATTGGGTAAACACTTGTTTATTCTAACCTTTTATGAACATTTTATATATATTCCGTAGTAATTCATTTATTCTGCATCATTTTCTCAAACTTTTTTATTCTAGATCCTTTTTTAGAAGGGTTAAAACTATCCAGGAACAATTTATTTTTGCAAAAGGGTTAAAGTTTTAACATTGTAATCACTTTAGATAAAAACAAATTAAACCTCGTAACGAAAACACTTTAAAAGATATTTTAATGTGGTATTTTTAAGCTAGATTGCATCATTTATTTAACAATTACTATCTATTTAGATCCTTTTAACAACATTCTAAATTACGAAAATAATTCTGCATTTTTTGGCAAACTTGTCTAAATAAAACTTGCGGAACTTCCTAGACTAAATTATTGAAATTCATTTTAATCTGCATCATATTCACAAATTCATTTATTCATTCGTTTATTCCACATTCTTTTATTCTAAGTTATTCCATAATAATTCATTTCTGCATCATTTTCTCAACACTTGTTTATTCTAGATTCTTTTTATGAAAATTCATATATTCTAAATTATTCTGTAATAATTCTTTTATTCTGCATTATTTTCTCAAAACTAATTTATTCTAGATCCTTTTTTTGAACATTCTTTTATTCTAAATCATTCCGTCATAATTCATTTATTTTGCATCATTTTCTAAACACTTGTTTATTCTAGATCCTTTTTATGACTTTCTTATTCTTTTATTCTAAATTTATTTACATTTTTTCACAATAATTATTTATCCTTTTTTTGAACATTCTTATATTCTTTTCGTAACACATTTATTCTGGCATCATTTTCCTCAACACTTTGTTTATTCTAGATCCCTTTTATGAACATTCTTTTATTCTAAATTATTCCGTAATATTTTATTTATTCTGAATCATTTTCTCAAAACTTGTTTTATTCTAGATCCTTTTTATGAACATTCTTTTATTCTAAAGCGAGAATAATTCATTTATTCTGCATCATTTTCTCAAAAACTTGTCTATTCTAGATCCTTTTTAGAATATTCTTGTATTCTAAATTATTCCGTAATAATTAATTTATTCTGCATCATTTCTCAACACTTGTTTATTCTAGATTTTTTTTATGAACATTCTTATATTCTAAATTATTCTGTAATAATTCATTTATTCTGCATTATTTTCACAAAACTTGTCTATTCTAGATCCTTTTTATGAACATTCTTTTATTCTAAATTATTCCATAATAATTCATTTATTGTGCATCATTTTCTCTAAAACTTGTTTATTCTAGATCCTTTTTATGAACATTCTTATATTCTAAAATATTCCGTAATAATTCATTTATTCTGCATAATTTTCTCAACACTTGTTTATTCTAGATCCTTTTATGAACATTCTTTTATTCTAAATTATTCGAAAAATAATTCATTTATTCTGCATCATTTTCTCAACACTTGTTTATTCTAGATCCTTTTATGAATATTCTTTTATTCAAAATTATTCCGGAATAATTCATTTTTATTCTGCATCATTTTCTCAACACTTGTTTATTCTAGATCCTTTTTTATGAACATTCTTTATTCTAAATTATTCCGTAATAATTCATTTATTCAGCATCATTTTCTCAAAACTTGTCTATTCTAGATCCTTTTTAGAATATTCTTGTATTCTAAATTATTCCGTAATAATTCATTTATTGTGCATCATTTTCTCAAAACATGTTTATTCTAGCTCCTTTTAATGAACATTCTTATATTCTAAATTATTCCGTAATAATTCATTTATTCTGCATCATTTTCTCAACACTTGTTTATTCTAGATCCTTTTTATGAACTTTCTTATATTCTAAATTATTCTGTAATAATTTCACATTACTTGTTTATTCTAGATCTTTTTGCTTATATTCTAAAATTATTCAATCATTTTCTCAACTTGTTTATTCTAGATCCTTTTTATGAACTTTCTTATATTCTAAATTATTCGGTAATAATTTATTTATTCTGCATCATTTGCTCAATACTTGTTTATTCTAGATTCTTTTTATGAAAATTCATATATTCTAAATTATTCTGTAATAATTCATTTATTCTGCATTATTTTCACAAAACTTGTTTATTCTAGATCCTTTTATGAACATTCTTTTATTCTAAATTATTCTATAATAATTCATTTATTCTGCATCATTTTCCCAACACTTGTTTATTCTAGATCCTTTTTATGAACATTCTTTTATTCTAAATTATTACGCAATAATTCATTTATTCTGCATCATTTTCTCAGCACATGCTTCTTCTCGATCCCTGTTATGAATATTCTTTTATTCAAAATTATTCCGCAATAATTCATTTATTTTGTATCATTTTCTCAACACTTGTTTATTCTAGATCCTTTTTATGAACATTCTTATATTCTAAATTATTCCGTAATAATTCATTTATTCTGCATCATGCTTTTCTCGATCCCTGTTTGTTTATTCTAGATTCCTTTTTATGAACATTTATTTTTATCATTTTCTCAACACTTGTTTATTCTAGATTTTATGAACATTCTTATATTCTAAATTATTTAATAATTCATTTATTCTGCATCATTTTCTTAAAACTTGTTTATTCTAGATCCTTTTAGAATATTCTTTTATTCTAAATTATTCCGTAGTAATTCATTTATTCTGCATCATTTTCTCAAAACTTGTTTATTCTAGATCCTTTTTATGAACATTCTTTTATTCTAAATTATTCCGTAATAATTCATTTATTCTGCATCATTTTCTCAACACTTGTTTATTCTAGATCCTTTTTAGAATATTCTTGTATTCTAAATTATTCCGTAATAATTCATTTATTCTGCATCATTTTCTCAACACTTGTTTATTCTAGATCCTTTTTATGAACATTCTTTTATTCTAAATTATTACGTAATAATTCATTTATTTTGCATCATTTTCTCAACACATGCTTCTTCTAGATCCCTGTTATGAACATTCTTTTATTCAAAATTATTCCGCAATAATTCATTTATTTGCATCATTTTCTCAACACTTGTTTATTCTGGACCCTTTTATGAATATTCTTATATTCTAAATTATTCGGTAATAATTCATTTATTCTGCATCATTTTTCAACACTTGTTTATTCTTGATCCTTTTATGAATATTCTTTTATTCAAAATTATTCCGCAATAATTCATTTATTTTGTATCATTTTCTCAACACTTGTTTATTCTAGATCCTTTTTATGAACATTCTTATATTCTAAATTATTCCGTAATAATTCATTTATTCTGCATCATTTTCTTAACACTTGTTTATTCTAGATCCTTTTTATGAACATTCTTTACTTCTAAATTATTCCGTAGTAATTCATTTATTCTGCATCATTTTCTCAAAACTTGTCTATTCTAGATCCTTTTTAGAATATTCTTGTATTCTAAATTATTCCGTAATAATTCATTTATTCTGCATCATTTTCTCAACACTTGTTTATTCTAGATCCTTTTTATGAACATTCTTTACTTCTAAATTATACCGTAGTAATTCATTTATTCTGCATCATTTTCTCAAAACTTGTCTATTCTAGATCCTTTTTAGAATATTCTTGTATTCTAAATTATTCCGTAATAATTCATTTATTCTGCAGCAATACTTGCTTATTCTAGATCCCTTTTATGAATATTCTTATATTCTAAATTATTCCGTAATAATTCATTTATTCTGCATCATTTTCTCAACACTTGTTTATTCTGGACCCTTTTTATGAATATTCTTATATTCTAAATTATTCGGTAATAATTCATTTATTCTGCATCATTTTCTCAACACTTGTTTATTCTTGATCCTTTTTATGAACATTCTTTACTTCTAAATTATTCCGTAATAATTCATTTATTCTGCATCATTTTCAAAACTTGTCTATTCTAGATCCTTTTATGAATATTCTTATATTCTAAATTATTCCGTTATAATTCATTTATTCTGCATCATTTTCTCAACACTTGTTTATTCTAGATCCTTTTTATGAACATTCTTTACTTCTAAATTATTCCGTAGTAATTCATTTATTCTGCATCATTTTCTCAAAACTTGTTTATTCTAGATCCTTTTTTAGAACATTCTTATATTCTAAATTATTCGGTAATAATTCATTTATTCTGCATCATTTTCCCAACACTTGTTTATTCTAGATCCTTTTTATGAACTTTCTTATATTCTAAATTATTACGCAATAATTCATTTATTCTGCATCATTTTCACAACACTTGTTTCTTCTAGATCCTTTTTATGAACATTCTTTATTCTAAAATTATTCCGCAATAATTCATTTATTTTGCATCATTTTCTCAACACTTGTTTATTCTGGACCCTTTTTATGAATATTCTTATATTCTAAATTATTCGGTAATAATTCATTTATTCTGCATCATTTTCTCAACACTTGTTTATTCTTGATCCTTTTTATGAACATTCTTTACTTCTAAATTATTCCGTAATAATTCATTTATTCTGCATCATTTTCACAATACTTGTCTATTCTAGATCCTTTTTATGAACATTCTTATATTCTAAATTATTCCGTAATAATTCATTTATTCTGCATCATTTTCTCAACACTTGTTTATTCTAGATCCTTTTTATGAACATTCTTTACTTCTAAATTATTCCGTAGTAATTCATTTATTCTGCATCATTTTCTCAAAACTTGTCTAT